TTTCGAGTCCATCTCCGATGTCATGGAACGCCATGGCGCACTGATGTCGTCGACAATCGAATCGTCTAGCAAGCGGCAATGCAGCATCTCCATGAGGCAATGCGACATATTGGAGCAGGAAGTTGCCGTCCAAAAAGCGTACTATGCGTCGTCCGATGAGACGCAGAGGATGATGTGCCAAACACTGTTCGAGATCGCTGCCGCCATCCGTGGTCGGTCGACCATGTAGGCCATTACGTGCTGTGTTGATCAAAGTTGGTTCTTTGCCGTCATCATGGAGTTTTTTTTTTTTTTTATCGGTTGTGAATTGCATGATGTTGCCATTGGCGATGCTCGTGGACGGCTGCCGCGGAAGCAATGCCAAGTAGTTCACGGACAATCGAGGGCAGCGAGAGGGGGGGGAGGTGTGTGTGTGTGTGTGTGTGTGTGTGTGTGTGTGTGTGTGTGTGTGTGTGTGTGTGCGTGTGTGTGTGTGTGTGTGTGTGTGTGTGTTAATTTTTTATTTTTTTTGCCGTAGTTAGAATTGGGCGCGGTTTGCTGTGGAAGCGGGTCGTGAGGGGGAATGGGGGGGGGGGGGGTGGGGGGGGGATGGAGGGGTCGTTTGCTGCGAGGGGGACGCGCGATGGGGTGTCCGTGGGTGAAGGCGGACCGTCTTGGTTTTGGTCCTTCCGGAGTGCATTCGCACGCGTCGATCGAACGTGGAAGGGCCTTTTCGCGGCTTCGGGAGGTTGATAATGACAGGCCTGGACAGGCATGGCGGTAGCACGTGTCACCGTCGTCGTTCCGTTTTCTTGCCAAGAGGACGCGACGTCGTGGATGGTCCTTCTACTACTGTCATTTCACTGCTGCGCGTCCGGAGCCGCATGCATGTCATCCGCACGAGGGTGATTCCACAACGCTTCTCGTCGTGCTAGGTGCGCACTTCTCGCCGCGCATATGCAGTGCCACAACCCTTCTCACCGGGCGCGCTACAAGGTTCCCACTGTGCATCTGCAGTGCCACAACGCTTCTCGTCGGGCCAGCTGCACACTTCCCGCCGCGCATCTGCAGTGCCATAACGCTTATTGCCGTCATCGCTTCCGCTCTTCTGGCAGTCTGGCTTCTCGCCGCGGAGCACTCCCGCCATCACGAAGGACAGGTGTCGCCGGGAACATCATCCTTTCGTGGTGCGCTTGGGCGTCATCGTCATCCTGCAGCGGAGGACACATCTTCAGTGTCGTCGGGATAGCCTGTCTGGTCAGGCTGGCAAGAGACGGATGACATCTTTTTCAACGAAACAGCACACGTCAGCCGAGCGCTACACGGAGATCGCTTGTGGGGTTCCCCAGCAATCATGTCTGCGCGATTGAACGCCCGTGGCAAGAAGCGCGACGTCGCGCTTGACGAAACCCAAGCCCAGGGGAAAGGTCGTCGGCATGTCCCGAAGGCGAAGAGGCTGCGTTTGGATGATGCGTCAGCGAGCGTGCCGCGTCGTGGTGCGCGAGGTTGGTCGCAGCCGGCGGAAGAGGGCAACGACAATGATTTCATGACGGAGGACGACCAAGGCGGGGCGACGGCGTCTGCAGGACGGGAGAGTGCAAGGCAGTGTACTCTGGATCAGAGCGCTTCGAAGAGGATGTCAACCCCTCCGCCGGAGGCGCAGCAACAGCGTGTCCGCGAAACGTGGAAAGAGAAGGGTGCTGTGGTGGACCTTGGCGGCGAAGATGACGAGCCTTTGGAGAGACGTGGCCTGCGCAGTGCGACACAAGCGACCACAGTGGCGGCGTCGACAGCTCGCGCTGCGGACGATGAAAGGTCGATCACAGGTGCACTGCCCTGCACGCCGTCTCAGCCGCGTCAGCGCAACGACGGTGGTGACGGTGCGTCTCGCCAACGAGGTGGGGGGGGGGGAGTCGTGGCAGACGCGCGTGCAACAGGAGGGGAGGCGGCAGGCGGCGCGGGTGTGGCTGTTGCAGGTGTTGTCCCTCCCGTTCCGGCGGCGAGAGAGGAGGCTGCAGTTCCGGCGACGGTGAGAGAGGAGGGTCGTGGATATGACATGAACCAACGCGATGGCGGCAAGGCCGCTTCAAGCCGGGCACGCAGGGGAGCAATGACAAACGAACTTATCGATCGTGCGCTTCTTTGGGTGGACAACAAATCTTTCTGGACAACGGGTGAAGGGCGCAGACTTTACAACATCGTCCACGAAACAAAAGAGCACTACGTCGCCATCGCCAGCGGGCTTCCGCCACCTCAACTTCCGCGGAGCGTTGTCGTCCCCAAATCCAGCACGAGGGTGGCAAGGATCGCAGACCAATCACAGCTCCAGCAGGCGATCTCCCGTGCGGCGGCGGTGGAGAATATAGCTCTGCGCATCTTGCACGGCTGGGTTTTCAAGTCCGGGAACCGCCCAAGGGGGTACAACCTTGCGTTCCAGTACTCGTTGGAGTCCGTAGTGACGGACATTGCGCGTGCAATGTGGTACGGCGAGGAGTGGCGCAACGTCGTCAGCGCGCCGATCTGCGCCCACACGATAGATCTTAACATGGACCTTCCACTGTGGTACGCCGGCGCGAATATCGAGGACAGACCTGAGGACGACGACATGGCTGCGTACCAGGAGTCCACCGTCATCAGCATCGCGCATTTGTTCCGCGCGGCGGTGCAAATGGGCGCTCACATCGACAGCGATTTCATCTCCTATGAGCGTCTATGTCGGGTGGCTGACTGCTTCAGGCTGTTGCTGGCGGCGTCCATGTGGATTATGCGCATGGCGGGAGACGATCCACGCAGTCACTACAAAGCGTTTTACTTCGCGGATCTCGTCGCCAAGCCGACACTAATCGCCTCCATGCATCGGTCCTTCGATCATGGACGATCCGTCGCCCGCGCCGAACGTCGTCACGGAGAGGCTTGGGAAGGCGAAAGTCACGCTAGGAGTGTACCCCGACTACATCCCTGATTGGGCACCATGCGGCATTGGATTTGCGCACGACGCGACCATCAAGGGGCCGGGGGATACGAAGAGGCTGGATTGGTTGGGTTCGGACCCCGCCGATGATGACATCAAAGGCGAAGGAAAAGACGACGCATAAGGCAGGCTTGTATGCGGGGGGTGAGCGGGGAGACAACGCTTCTAAGAACGAAGGCGCATGTACGCGTGGCGAGACGTGACGGGCTGTTGTGTGATTGGAGTGTCGTGCGTGGCGCAGCTGATTAGCGTGTGGACCGCCAGGATTCGCTTGAGTCCTCCGTCGTCATTGTGCACAGGTTTACTGTGGCGCCCGTGGCATAAGCACGGGTTGATTAAGTTCGATTGTGTCATTGTAGTTTCGGTGGTTAGCGTGTTGGCCAGAGGGATTCGGCTGAATCTTCGACGCAGGCGTAGGTGTTTAGTGTGCGGCCAGTAGCCCCAGCACGGGATGAATGGTTTGCACCTTTGTTTTTTTGTTTTTGTTTTATTTTTATTTATGCGTTCAGCGCACGTGGTTGTTTTATCAATGCATGGTGCTACTCGTTGTATTGGACGATTTGAAGCGCGTGGCGGTTGATTGTTGTTTGCCTTTTTCCGATGCGTGTGACAACTCTCACGACTCTGTCATATGTCGGTGTCATGAATGTGGTCATGTATTTTATGGGACACAGATGTCGTGCGTGTCATGCAGTGTCCTTGTCTGCGTTTCACTTGTTCTTGTTCTTCGTATTGGCTTCACGACATGCAATAGACATGCGATGATCACGGATTGAGAGAATGCATGATGGGATTGTATAGAAGCTTGTTGTACATGTCATCCCACCACAACAGCACACGAAACCGGTCATGGAAACTGAAATGAAGATATGCACCGTAAAAAGATAAAGATAATCAACATTTCCAAAAAATATATATATATATATTAAAAAAAAAAAAAAAAACAGCAACAACCATGTTTCCCATCGCACGACACCGTTCATCACAAACGATTTGAAGACAGGAAACATATATAACAAGACAAAAACTCCTAATGACGAGGACACACACTGACAAAAAAAAGGTTATTCCAATCTTTAAACTTTGCACAACTGTGCGAACCAGGTAGCTATCAACAACATGAAAACGATAATCTGAAATCGTCGACGACAATAATGTCGCCGTTCCATCGACCAACCAACCACTCGCACGACGACCATGGACACGGACCACGTAATAACTCCAGCCGCCTACCGATCGAACCACCCCGTGTGCACCACCTCCCTACCGCACGGTCCTACATCAAAGCTAGGCGGTCTCGCAGTGCATCCCTAAACAATTCACCTTCCACGTTCGTGCACCGTCCCCGCCCGCGTGCGCCGTTCCCCACAATGCCCAAGTCCACTCTACACCGAACGCCATTCGCATCCACCGCTCACAGAAGGTTCTCTTCGAAGTCGATCCTCGCGTCCAGGAGGATATTGTGGAGAGTGCAGACAACCACGAATTGTTGTGGCAAGGTCTCTAGGTTCGTCTTATGGGTGTGCAAGAACAGACGCCACATGCACTTGAGTCAGCCGAATGCCCTCTCCACACACCCCCGTGCCACCTTTTGCCACGTGTCGAAGCGCTCCTCGTCCCCACAATGCCCAAGTCCACTCTACGCCGAACGCCGTTCGCATCCACCTCCCACAGAAGGTTCTCGTCGAAGTCGATCCTCGCATCCAGGAGGATATTGTGGAGAGTGCAGACAACCACGAATTGTTGTGGCAAGGTCTCTAGGTTCGTCTTATGGGTGCGCAAGCACATGCACTTGAGTCGGCCGAATGCCCTCTCCACACACCCCCGTGCCACCTTTTGCCGCTTGTCGAAGCGCTCCTTGTCAGCACCTTGGTCGATTCCTCCGTACGACGACACAATCCACGGATACGCAACTGGATAACCGTTGTCCCCCAGCAGGTAGCCTCGTGTGACGACACCATGCGGCAGATTCTCCGGAGTTGCGTCGAACAGCTCGCCACTTTCTGCACGCCTAAACAACTGGGAATTGTGCAGGACACGGAAGTCCTGCACACTTCCAGGGTATCCGACGTGGACGTCGAGGATCCGCAAATCAAAATCCACAACCACCTGCGCCTACACGGAGAACTTATGTTTGCAGTCGTAGTAGTTCTCGGAAGGTGCGCCGGCGGGCTTGTCAATGTAGATGTGTGTACAGTCGATAGCGCCGAAGCAGTTTGGGAAACCCTTCTCACAGAAAGCGCGCAGAATCTGCGCACGTCTCCTGCCCATTGGCCACTTTATCGCGTCGGGGTACGCCTGCAGCAGCGCCGAAGTGACGTCGCGGACGGCCTGCAGTCCAGTTTCCCTGCGGATGCCAAATGCTGACGTGCCGCTCTCATACGTCTCTCCGGACGCCCACCTGTATAACGCGAAAGCAATCAGCTGCTCCACAGGCAATGGCATTCGATAGTGCGTCACCTTCTTCTCCATGTACGCGGCGCACGCGGCTACGATGTGGTTGAACATGGACGTGGACATGCGCAGCTTCTGCCGGAAGTACTCGTCCGTCGCGTTGTCACGAAGCCGGTGGTCCTCCCATGTCCCGCCAGTCCGTCGTTTGATCCACCATCGCGAAGTCTGCTGCGGGAAAACGCCAGATGTCACCGTGGCACACAACTAGACGACTGCCTCACACGTCCCCGCGCAATTCGGCGCCTCTGCAACGCTCTGCAACATCGGTCTACGTTGTCGGAGCCGCGTCAGCATGTCCTGCGACGAGGACTCCTTGTCGCCCATCGTGTTCACGACGATGGCAGTAACCGCCATCGCCACGGCGTCGATCTCTTCGTCGCGTTGACTGTCCATTTCTGCCAATCCTCGCACGGTTTGCCACGTCACGCCTTCGACAGCCGCCTCAGACATGCCCACCGCGGAACCCTGCCGTCGTAGAGAAACAACGCCGGAGTCCACGATGGCAACGCTGCTGTGCAATGGCACACGAGACAGACACGCGTCCGGTGCTCCACGCTTCCAAAGGACGGTACGCACGCCGGAGGCGAACGTGCGGCTCACACGATCATGCGCACGCTCCTCGCAAGTTGCATAAACTCGAAAGATGGATTCCGCGCGGCGAACGGCATGGAGGCGCCATATTTTTCAAGTCACACGCGTCGGCATGGAGGCGCCGTCTTTTTCACGGCGCACGCGTCCGCGAGAATTCGAATTCAAACTTTTGAAGTTCTCGGGAACCGTGCTTTTCACCGATCCGTCGACTCCCGCCCAAGGGCCACCGCATTCTGTACCACTGACACCGCCGAGGAATGGACGAACATCGGCGGCGCGGCTGCATATACGCGTATGAAAACGGGCCGCAGGAAATCTTTTAGGACGAGTCCTAAAAGATGATTTTTAGGACTGCGTGTAACGACACCGCACGAAATCCTAAAAAACCTTTAGGACTCGTCCTAAAAATTTTAGGATTCTTTTAGGAGTGTCTAACGAGACCCTTACTTTGAAAAAAGAAAAAAAGAAAGAAACGCCATTGAGCCTCGCCTATTGCCCTAAAAAAAAAAAAAAAAAAAAAAAAAAAAAAAAAAAAAACGGAGACTCGGGACAAGGCCTCCAAAGGGCGGGGGGCAAGTCCCACTAGCAGCGTTGAGCTACCTCAACGGCTGAATCTGGACGCTTTTGCAAATATGTGCAGAAATGGTGTTGAGTTTCCTGAACTGCACGTCTCCACAAAGTCCAGATTCAGGCGTTGAGGTAGCTCAACGCTGCTAGTGGGACTTGGCCCCGGGAGGGGGAAAAAAAGAAAGAAAAAGGGAAAATTACATTGGTACCCCACTTAAAGATGGGAATACCCGCTATACCGAATCCCGGCGCCAACTTGTATCTATACCCGGAAAACAGCTGGTGGAAATTATTTGCATGCCCACGAGGTCGACCAAAAAGGGAAAATTGCATCGGTACCCCACTTAAAGATGGGCATACCCGGTATAGCCAGTCCTGGGCCAACTTGTATAGATACCCGGAAAACAGCTGGTGGAAATTATTTGCATGCTCATGACCAAGGACGACCCCGGTTGGTCAAACAAAATTGGGCTTATAACCAACTACAGGGATGCACAAATATGGGCATACCCAGGCAAAATTATGGGCATACCCGGCACTGAGGTGGACTGGCCAGATTACTCATATACCCAACGAACGGGTGGCCAAAAATTACGCTTATACCCAGCAGCCGTTGGGCGACAACAGTCCACTAGGTGGACACGAGAATAATTTCATTCTGCACCATCCGAGGCCAGCCGGTGGGTATGGGTACACCCACAATTTTCGCTGGTTTCTGGGCATGAGCATAATTCCGTGGTTTGGCCCTGCACAAAGTTGGGTACTGTGCAATGTTGAAACATTCCGGGTATAGATCCAAGTCGAGGCTCGGACTAGGTGTGGCAGGTACTCCCATCTTTAAACCACTAGTACCTCCGCTAGTGTTGGGAAATTAGGATGAATTGGTCAGTTTGGTCTAAGGGTCTCGTTAAACACTCCTAAAAGTTCCTATTTTTAGCATTGCGTCTTGGTTGCACGCAATCCTAAATCGGACGCAGGAATCCAAAATGTGAAAACGGCGTTAGGACTCGTCCTAAAAGATTTAGGATTCCCCAACCAAATCTTCCAAAATTTTCCAGTAGCCCCGGACCTACTGAAAAATTTAGGATTCCCGCGTTTCACGGAGTCGTCGCGTCGCGAGAATGGCACCATCAACACGGAGGCGCTGGTCCAGGAGAGGTCCGTCGAGTCGGTGGGCGGACATCGGAGGTTTTATGCCGGTCGACGACGTCAACGGCCCCCACCGGTAGTCGTTGGTCGGTGGGGTGGAGCGCGCAGGGCGAAGCGTGGTCAGGCGGGCGAGGCGGGCGGCCGTTGCGGACCGTTGGCTCGGGTGCAGGCAACAGAGGAGTCCCCAGACGTCCACAGCAAGGCGACGGCACGTCCATAGGTGAAGATGCGCCGAGCAGGAAGATGCACCGCGCAACTCACAACTCCCGCGTACAGCAAAGCTGGTTACCCACGGCGAAGGGGTCGCCACCGCCGTCTCTTGTACGTCGCCTGGTCGTCCTCCAGCCCGCCAGCCTGCGTCCGCCAAAATTCGAATTTGAAATTTCGAAGATCTCGACAAACGTGCGCTTCACCAACCCGTCGGCACCCGCCCAAGGGCCACCACAGTGTGGACCACGGACACCAGCCAGGACTGGACGGACATCGGCGACGCGGCTGCGTATACATATATGAAAACAGGCCGCGGGAAACCTTTTCGGACGATTCCAAGAAGACGATTTTTAGGACTGCATGTAACGACGCCGCGCGAAATCCTAAAAAACCTTTAGGACTCGTCCTAAATCTTTTAGGATTCTTTTAGGAAGGTCTAACGAGACCCTAACCCTGAACAAATCGAGGATCCCAACAGGGTTGGCAACGATTCCCAACACGGGATAAAAAATGAGTTTTTTTATCTTTTTGCTTTTTTTTTCGCGGCGGTTTCCGGAGAGCGTTGGACTTGTGTTCGTTCCGCGACGGTGGCCTCGTAGTGGAAACACTACCGGGTCCTGTCCGGGAGACTCACGGCGTCACAGGTCGGTCGGTCCTCGCTGAGTGGTCATTCGTTCGGGCCGAGAGTCTGTACGACCATCTTCGCGGGCGACCACCTCCGACTTGTGTGGTCCCCGTCTAACCCTCTCGTCCGGCAACCATTGCAGCTCTCCGCCTCTCTCTCTCTCTCTCTCTCTCTCTCTCTCTCTCT